TTGAGATATCAACAAATATGCACCAATCAGATCTCTTCGATGAATCAAACTAATTTCAATACGTGTAATATTTTAAAATTAGAATTTTTTATATTAGAGCGCAGAATGTGGTTTCATTTAATAGTCGAAATTTCAAGTTACGTATCGACAGTTTTTTTAAAAAATGTGATTTTCACGTTATACCTATCTAGCTTTCTTAATAACTCTAAAAAATTTCACGGCAGATTCTCGATTTTGATTGGCTAAGAGCGATGATCAAAAAATTTGGCTAATGAAACCACAGAACCTATTAAGTGAAAATTGTTCCTTGTAATGAAAAAAATCAAAAGTTAATAACGGCAAACAATTATGTAATGTGGGCCAAATCTGCGGCCGTTAACCGATCAAAATCGAGTGACAATTTTGTGTCGATCGTTTGAAGAAATCTGATTAGTGTTTACTTGAGAAAAATACATATGCACTTGCTATTAGAACCAAAAAAAAAACAATGCTAATTTCGCACATCTATAAATTGGATAATTTTCGGGTTAGATATTTCTAACCCGACCCGATTCGGAGCACTACTCTTTAAGGTGTACTGTATAATGGACAGGCTCACTTATTGACTTAGTATTATCTATTTACCGTTACACAGATAGTCTGATTCACATGTTAGATAGCTAGCCAATCACATGATTGTTGTGATCATCCTACTATTTATAACTTTGTTTACGTTCGTTTTCATTTTCATTATAGTTTTTGTTTTTATTTTATTAACATTAGTTTTTATTGTTGTTGATTGTTGCTAGTGAGTAGTTTAGCTTGGTTGGGTTTGGGTTATTATTGATAGAGTTGGACGTTGTTGGTAGGTTTAAATTTTTGTTGTGAGTTTAGATCGTTGTTTTTGGTGGGTTTAGACTGTTGTTGTGGGTTTACGTTTTTTTTTTTTTTTTTTGTGTGTGTGTGTGTGTGTGTGTATGTGTGGGGGGCAGGTTTAGGTTATCGTTTTTGGTGGGTATAGATAGTTGTTGGAGGGTTTACGTGGGTTGGGTTATCGTTTTTGGTGGAGTTAGATTGTAGTTGGTGGGTTAGGTTATCGTTTAGATTGTAGTTGGTGGGTTTATGTTGTTTTTGGTGGGTTAGGTTATCGTTTTTGGTGGGTTTAGATTGTAGTTGGTGGGTTTACGTTGTTTTTACTCGGCGGAAAACCGTCTAATTAGGCATAAGCTTTTGCATTTCCCCTACTTAAGGTCTACTGGTCTTGTATAAGGGATCGGTTATGTATCTTTCTTAAGAGTCAAAACCTTGTGAGTTAGCGGTTTTGGTGGAAGGAAGGAGAGGGTGGGTAAATAAATAGTATAATATTGTGTACTGTATTATAGTTAGTATAGTGTAGTATAGTATATTGTAATATCTGAGCTCTAGAGGTTATGAGCCAAAGCTTATTGGATCAATATTGATTCAAGTGGAACAACCTACTCCCGGTGGGGAAATTCGGGAGAGATCGGTTGGGGGAAACCTTCCCAACTAATGAGATACACCTCTACGTGGTGGTTGGGACGAGTAGGAGAGTTAATCTCCGAAACTAAGTATCTCAAATTTTTATTTTTTTTTGACTGTATTTTAAAAATGAATGAATAAATAAATAAATAAATATAATTATTATAGAATTTTATAGTTGAGTTTACTGGTATAAATTGTTTCTACAGTATAAATAAAAAATTCAAGAAATTTCTAGGCTTCTGTTGTTACATACTATAAAGATTTTGAACAATCCCGTTTTTAGAAGCCAGGGTTAGTTTATTATTTTCTCACTACAGCTAAATTCACTTTTAACATTAATGTGAGTGATTTATAATGTACAGTATCACTCTTCTCAGATTACATAAAACCTCAAATTTTAAAATACAATTCGACTTGTCAATAAGCAAGAATGGAACTTATTTTAATACCCATGAAAAAATCTGCAATTAGCATTAACAATCATTAGTGACCTTGTCTCCATTTATATGTTAGGACAAAATAATGTACAGTATATTCATCAAGACGAGACTCAAATATCAATAATATTTTGAATAGCGACAGGGTGTTGACTGTCAAAATATTAAGGACCTTGAAGCATTACAAATAAAAAGATTTATAAGGTTATTCTTTTTATTGGATTATTAAAAGAATCTAAAAGTCCAGTGGGTGTTCCAGATTTTTATCAATAACACCCATATTGCGATTTATGTTTTATAGCGCTAATTAAAAACCTTAATGCTAATATCATTTTTCATTGATCTAAGAGTACATCACTTACGCACTATATCTCTAATGATATAAAGTATATTTGATGTTATACAAGAAGTATATACAAAAAAAAAAAACAACAATTTTTTGTAATGATCAAAGCTTATGCATGAATTATTATCATAAGAAGTCGATCAACTGATTTTGAAAAAAAATCGACCGGCTAAGCCGAAAAATTATCATGATTTTCATCTCCATCAGCAATAGTTATACTTTTTCCCTTGCCTTTTTTATTTTTAATATCATTTGCATTTGTATTTCCTAGAGAATCAATAGTCGAATGCGTAGCGTTCGTATTTTCAGAAGATTGGGTATCTGCATTCGTCGTAGAAGACGAGTTTCCATCCGTCGTACGTATTTCCGCCACCGGAACTTCAGGTAGTACACTTATAACTTGTGTTAGCATATTAATAGCATTGTATAGATGCCCTTGAGTTTCCTGTAATATTCGTAGCCTTTCAACAAGTGCCTCTCGTGTTGTTGTTTCTAGGAGGCGTATTTGATCATCTGACAAGTGACTTAATATATTGGTTTCTGCATTTGTGGTACCATTATCTCTCAAGGGTAAAAGAGGGAAAAGAGGTATTAAACCAGGTGGAACATGTAGAGGAAATTGTGATACGTAAGGTTGGTAGTTTATCGATGATGGCTGAGCAGAATTTAAGTGCCTAAACGCTGTTGCAACGTTTGGATCCCATGGCCATCTAGGCATCACAGATGGAGATTGCCTTCGCTCCGGATTAGTTGTTGTTTGAGCACCAGATGTTGGAGCAGATTCTTCCTATACACGAAATAGATAAAATTAATTTAATCAACATAGTTATATAATCTTGTATGTTAAAAAATATAGTATCTAATTTTAATTTTGTAATATTAAATTGCGGTATCTATTTATATATAATCCATGATATTACCTCATTTAGTGATCGATCTCCTGGATTTATGACATTAGGTGTGTTAAGTTGCGTGCTGCTTTGTGAATTTTGAGAAGTACTTTGCTGTGCAGATTGTTGTGTATTTTGACTTGTCGTCGTCGTATTTGCCTGCCCATCGATATTACGTTCATTAACGTTAGCAAGAGGATTAGGTGGACCATGCCACTGTCCATGCATTCCTGGAGGTGGAAAAAATGTCACTGGGGGGAATCCTGGGATGGGATTTGTTAGGAATCCAGGATTCGCAAAAGGAATTCCAGGTAATTGTGGTTGAGGCTGAGGAGGTTGTGGACCATTATTGTGTTGAGGTGGTATAGGACGTGGTGGTGGTTGAGTAGGTGTAGGTTGCTCTTTGAACATTATTATTATTATTATTATTATTATTATTATTATTATTATTATTATTATTATTATTATTATTAATGTTAGAAAGTAATTATGTTGAGATATGGATGAAACTATTCTATAGTCAGCAATGCTAAAGACCAAAAAGATCTTTTATTAAATGATACATGTATCATTTAACAAAATTGATTTGTTTTAATGGTCATTGACTATATTACAATCTGGACTTGATTTAATAATGAGGTCAGGAAATATAATAAAGGGAGTTATTAAAATGTTGCTGACGTCTATATTTACTTATAAAAGGGTTCATTAAAGCAAGATATTAATTAATGATCGTCAAATAATCACTAAATCAAGCCCTGATTGTATATATTATAAAGAGTAGTTTTGGCACTTACGTTCAGACAAAACGGGTCTACGACTTTAATGGGATTATAGACAAAAATTAATAAATATTGCATGATGAAACGTACGAAACTAAAAAAAAAAGTTGCTTAAAAAGGTTAAAATTTGCCTACCAAGTAGGACAACTCTGCTGTCTTTCCAGCCAACTACGCAAGCAATGAAAATGAAAAATATGACCACAAGGTAATTTTTTGGGAACATCACTTGGTCCATTATTTCCTTGCCTAGCCTGAGGCCTGCCATTGATATCTTCTGCGTTATTATTGTTATTATTATTATTATTATTATTATTATTGTTTATTGGAGCAGCAACCATTTCCTCTCTACATATTATACAAGTGCGATCGCTTAATCGCTCAAGTTCATCATTAGTTGCATTAGGGTAACGTTCGTCCATATTCCTAGTGGCGCGACGATATCGAATAAGATCTCCACATTTTTGAAGGAAAGAACGAAGTGTAACGTATACGTCACGAATAATATGTAGAGGGATGCCATAATATACGAGAATTATTGCGAAAAAGATAAGATAGGTGATCAATTTGAAGAAATCTAACAAATTGACAAGGTATTGTTAATAATTGCAATATATTATAAAATTTATGTATTAAAAATCTTTACCGGTCACGAGTTCCAGATAGAAAACGTATATTGATTTATTTTCCCATGGATCATCACGTCTCATATCAATGACATTCAAGACATATTTAAACAGCGTGGATATAATTGTGGCAGCAAGAATAGAATACTGTATTTTAAACAAAAGTAAATTTAAAATAGATGAGTTAATTTTAATATATCTATAATATCGATAATTATAAATGCATATATAAACAGCAAATAACACAGACTAACTTCAAATGCAAACATAACCATCATGTTTGGATGGCCATTCTTAAATGTGACATCAACAGCGTGATAAACTAAATATATGTCAATGGCACATAAAATCTCCATTAAAGAAACGATTCGAACGTGAAAGGATATCGGCACAACCGGTGATTGTTCCATCTGCCATAAAATATATCCCAATAAAGGAATTATTTAAAATAATGTTTAAAAATATTTTGTTGCAATAAAAATATTGGCTTCAAAAGATACACTCACGAATTCTACCCGATCTTGACATAACCAATGAAATATTTTTAGAAATAATAAAGTTGTAAACGTTATGACGAATCGAGTGTCGAATTCGTCTCGGAATATAGTCATGGCCAAGCATGTTTCTGTAACGGCATACCAGGATCTCTCATACAAATGCTTATTTCACGAAAATTTATTAAAAAAAATAAGTTTTAAGATAAATTTAAAAATACAGTATATATAAAAAATAAAGACGCACCTCGATCTCTACAGCGCGTAATCGTCCAAAAAATATTGTTTGAAGTATCTGACCAAATACGATTGTTAGAAAAAATCCCATATTCATGAGGATCTAACGGTAAAGAATAATAAATTAGTATATAATGTCACGATCGACGTTTAACGCGAATCTAAGCTCAAACTCGTGAAAATCGATGGGAGAAGAGTTTAAACAGTGGGGTACAGTCACAAGATTTTAAAAATAATAATTAAATTGAAGCTTACCATCATACATGCACTAGATTTCGACAAATAAATGCTTGCTGCATAGAAATTACTTCTTTGGCGAAAGGCAGCTGCAATGACCGAAAAGGACAAGAGAGTGCTAACTCCACCATAAACTGCTAGTCGTACCATTTTATAAATGATTGTAATTCCACTGCAAATTTTTTACTAAAGGAATAATGCTTTGGTATATTAGGTATATTAATGAAATATTTGAAATAACTTCGACAAAGCCATCAAATTATAATAATCATTAAATATAACGTACTTTGAAAAGTTCAAATTTATACTTTACCTGTCTATTTTATGCCACGTAGTAGTACAAATTATTCTCGCACAAGTGGCTCATCTTACTTTTTTATTAGTATATATATGTAACCTATAATTAATGACGAAATTACATTGTAAAGTTGTTTGGTATCTTTACATATCGAAGATCCCAAAAAGAATAAAATTTACACATTTGGTAAATATTAACTAGAAATGCTGTTACGGCTTATACTGTAACTGGTTAAAATTATGTCATAACCAATTACGGCATAAACCAAAAATGAATTGTGAAATTCACCTGTAATTTTTAACAATGTTCTAGCAATCGATAGTGATGGCAATTTGAAGTTTTGAAAAAGTTGGAAGCATCCAATTCCAATAAAAAGTTATCTAGGAAGCTTCCAATGCACATAGATATGTAAGATTGGAATTGGAAAGATAGGAAACTTCCAATTCTAATAAAACTCACCAAAATTACCTGTAAGATTGTCATAATCCGATCGGGGTTATTAACGGTGATATAGAATACATTGAAAGTTAATGAAAAACGGAAAATTTTTAACTGACAATCTTCTTTCAGTACAACTTCATATGTAAAATAAAAATTTAAAAAAAAATTTGTATTTAGAGAAATTGTAAAACAAATATCATAAAAAAAACCATTTTAATTAAATGCTGGGCCAATTAAAAAACGAGCCTGACACGCAGCAAGTTGAATCGCATATTAATACTTTTATCTTATTTAAGGCTTTCAAAGCAAGAAATAGAATTTTAAATATAAATTCATTGCAAGCTAAATTAAAACTTCCATGATATATATTAAGTTGTATATATAAAGAGTCTTGCAATTTAATAAAGCTTTTTGAAGACTACCAATACAATAAAAGTTCACTGTTAAGAAACAAGTCAGTCTTAATAAATTGAATTTTCTTTTTGTGTTTATTAATAATGGAAAATAAGATTTTTAGGCAAACTTATAAACAGAATGATATGATTTCTTTTAACCAGTATTTAAATCTGCCGAAAGAGAGACGATAACGACAATGCAGTATCATATGGCACTACAGAAACGGCATAAGTACTGACAAGGATGAAAAGAAGCCACTTTGAATGGCAGCTGAAGGTGGTGATTAATATGGCAATATAGTGTTGGATATCGCTATCAAAACGGCAAAGTACTGTTCCAAAGATAAAATAAAAGCGTTTGAATGGTATTTAAAATCTGCTGAAGTAGGTAATGCTAACGGTCAATGCAAAGATTGAAATAGAATAGGTATTACTGAATGGTACTGTGTATGAAATCCGCAAAGCAGTGATATTATTGAAAAAAAAACTATTGGTCTTTACTAGGAACTACTGAAATATTACCAGCATTTAGTCAGCAATTATTTTGCAAAACCTATTATCCAGACTGTGAAGTATACAAGAAACCTTGTAGTGATTTGTGCTGTTATTTTTATTTTAGGAAACCAAAACTAAAGTTTAAGGTGTGGATGATTGGTAATAATTAAAGACGCTGGTGAAATAAAATCTGTGGTGAAATAATTTCACCACTATTGATGAAATTGGTGTTGAATTGTTGAAATTGATGAAATTAATTCACCTAGTAATGATGCAATTGATATCAGATATAATAATTCAGATTGATAATGACATTTACTGGAATGGATAGAACCAAAAGACTTGTCAAGTTCAGATGGGGGAATATGGCTTAATGGATATCCCGCAAGCATAACATTCCGGCGGATTGGCGGAATTGGACCTTTATTTAGATTCTAAAAACCCAATTACACCTTATTGAAGTCGATAAGTTAGGAAATTTACTTAATAACAGTATTAATTAATATCCGTATAATTTGTTAATTTGCTATAATTATTATTATATACCCTTAAAATGATTAAGACCTCAAAGGAGATCTTCTATGGTTTCACTTAAAACGCTTGGTTCTTTTGAAGAAGCAGCGTGTATTGCAGATGAAGTAATATACAAATCGTTTATATATTTATATTTATTCATTTATTTATTTACAGTATTCATTTATTTATTTATTTAATCTTTCTATATAATTTTAATTCAACATTTTGTTATTAATAATAATAATTTTCTTCAAATATGGAAAATTTCGAGATGTTTTAGGAAATTTTATGGGTTAACTTTTCTCGTACAGATCAATCAAAGTTGCCATAGTAATGAATTTTTATGAGCACTATATAGATTATCATTGGATGGCTTAAATATATGTATGCATTCCCTTAAACTTTTTCACTACAATTTACCTGTGCTTACAAAATGTATCTGAGTCGAATTTCACATTTTTGACCCCCAAAATATAAAATTTAGCACTTCTGAAATCTGTGCCAGGTTATGCCGATCACCGAATCGAAAAGCATTAAGCACAGATTTTAATTTACATTATATTT